AGGAGGAGGAGGAGGAGGAGGAGGAGGAGGTGGATAAAGACGGCGTAAGGGGAGGAGGAGAAGGAGGAGGAGGAGCAGGAGGAGGGAGGAGGAGGGGGAGGATGATGATGAGGAGGAGGAGGAGGAGGGGCAGGAGGAGGAGGAGGAGAAGGAGGAGGGAGGAGGAGGAGGAGGAGGAGGAGGAGGATAAGGCGGATGAGGAGGAGGAGGAGTAGGAGGAGGCGGAGGATGATGATGGGGAGTAGGAGGATGATGATGTTGCGGATGATGATGTTGCTGATGATGATTATGATGTTGGTGATGCTGATGCTGATGCTGATGATGCTGGTGATGCTTCTGATGATGATGCTGATGATGATGGTGATACTGATGATGCTGAGGTTTATCATGATGACGAGTATGCTGAGGATGATGCTGGTGATGGTGATGCTGCTGCTGATAATGATGATGATGATGATGATGATGATGAGGCTGATGATGCTGATGACGCTGCTGCTGACGAGCATGATGACGATGATGATGCTGATGATGATGCTGAGGAGAAGGAGCAGGAGCAATAGACGGAGGAAGAAAACGGAAGAGGACGGATGAGGACGAGGAGGAGGACCAGGACGAGGAAGAGGAGGACGAGGAGGAGGATGAGGAGCAGGAGGAGGAGGCGGAGGAGGAGGAGGAGCAGGACGAGGACGAGGAGGAGAAGGAGGAGGAGGATGAGGAGAAGGCGGAGGCGGAGGCGGAGTAGGATGAGGAGGAGGAGAAAGCGGATGAAGATGAGGAGGAGGAGGAGGAGGAGGAGGAGGAGGAGGAGGAGGAGGACAGGGAGAATGAGCACGAGGATGCGGGTGAGGAAGATGAGGAGAAGGACAAAGAGGAGGAGGCCGAAAAGGAGGAGGAGGAGGAGCAGCAGCGTCAGCAGCATCATCAGCAACAGCAAGAGCAGACGCAGTACCAGCACTAGCAGCAGCATCATCAGGCAGAGGGAGAGGAACATCACGACGATGCTGATGATGCTGCTGCTGCTGATGATGATGATGATGATGACGATGCTGCGGATGGTGTTGCTGATGATGATTCTGTTGATGATGGCGATGAGGATGACGAGGATGCTGACGGTGCTGGTAATGACGATGACGATGGCGACGATGATGATGCTGATGACGATTATGATGATGCTGACGATGATGGTGATGACGATGATGATGCCGATGATGCTGATGACGATGCGGCTGATGATACTGATGATGATGGTGATGCTACTGATGATGATGCTGATGATGATGATGATGCTGGTTCTGATGGTGATGATGATGATGCTGCGGATGCTGAGGATGATGATTATGCTGATCCTGATGATGATGATGCTGCTGATTGTGATGCTGCTGATGCTGCTGATGATGACGATGCTGCTGCTGCGACTGAGGACGATGATTCTGATGATGATGATGATGCTGATGATGATGATGATGATGAGGATGATGATGACGAGGATGGTGATGATGATGCTGATGCTGATGCTGATGCTGATGATGATGATGATGATGATGGTGATGCTGATGCTGCTGATGATGCTGCTGCTGATGATGATGCTGCTGTTGCTGATGCTGATGCTGATGCTGATGCTGATGCTGATGCTGATGATGATGATGAGGATGCTGCTGATGATGATGATGATGATGATGATGATGATGATGAGGATGAGGATGATGAAGATGCTGATGCTGCTGCTGCTGACGATGATGACGATGCTGATGCTGATGCTGATGCTGATGCTGATGCTGATGCTGCTGCTGCTGCTGATGATGATGATGATGATGATGATGATGATGATGATGATGATGATGATGATGATGATGATGATGATGAGGGGGAGGAGGAAGAGGAGGATGAGGAGGAGGAGGACGAGGAGGAGGAAGGGGAGGAGGTGTAGTAGGAGAAGGAGGAGGAGGAGGAGGAGACGAAGGAGTATGAGGAGGACGAGATGGAGGGTGAGGAGGACGAGAAGGACGCAGGAGGAGGAGGAGGAGGAGGACGCAGGAGGAGGAGGAGGAGGAGGAGGAAGAGGAGGAGGAGGAGGAGGAGGAGGAGGACGGAGGAAGCCGGAGGGGGAGGCGGAGGAGGAGGAAGATGATGATGATAAGCAGGTGGAGGAGGAGGAAGAGGAGGAGGAGGAGGAGGAGAGGAGGAGGACAGATCAACACGGAGGAGGACGGAGGAGGACGGAGGAGGATGGAGGAGGAGGAGGAGCAGGAGGATCATGAGGAGGACGAGGAGGAGGAAGAGGAGGAAGGAAGATGAGGAGGATGGGGCGGATGAGGAGGGGGGGGAGGCGGAGGAGCAGGATAAGGACGAGGATGATGATGAGAGAGAGGATGAGGAGGAGAAGGAGGAGGAGGGGCATGATGCTGATGATGATGATGAGGAGGAGGAGGAGGATGAGGAATAGGAGGAGGAGGAGGAGGAGGAGGAGGAGGAGGAGGAGGAGGAGGAGGAGGAGGAGGAGGAGGTTGAGGGAGTGGAGGAGTAGGGCGGAGAAGTGCGGAGGAGCTGGAGGCGGATGAGGAGGAGGCGGAGGAGGAGGAGGAGCAGGAGGAGGTAGAGGAGGAGGAGGAGGAGGAGGATGCTGAGGAAAAAGAGGTGGATGATGGTAATGCTGATGATGATGCGGATGAGGAGGAGGAGGAGGAGCATTAGAAGGAGGAGGAGGACGGAGGAGGACGGAGGAGGACGAGGAGGAGGAGGGGGAGGAAGAGGAGGATGAGGAAGATGATGATGAGGAGGAGGAGGATGAGGAGGAGTCAGGAGTCAGCAGTCCCAGGACGAAGTCCAGAACACCAAACACTAGGACCCCTTGTGGGTCCCGGCCTTCTTGGCCCTTGCCGCGAGCTCGGTTTTATTGTAAACCTTGGGGAAAAGGCCCCGCTCGATACGACTCAAATACTCGGCACGGGTGTTGGTAACCACATTGGGCACACCTTACCGAGACCTAGCAACTGCTTATCCCCATACATACCACACGACGCGCAGAACCAAATATCCAGGTCCTGGTGCAGACGCATTTTGTGGGAGGGGTGGTTCTACCCCCCAGCGATGTGTATCCTCGCCCCCTCGGGGAGTCCTCTAAGGGAGCCATCGATAGAAACGAGTTTGAAACACGGTGAATCCTTCCATGCACGGGCAAGGGACACAGCAGCAGAGCCGCGACAGCGGCGGCAACGACGCCCCGAATCGTCCAGGGCATGGCTGGTCCCGAAAACAGACAACGTTTCGGCCGACGGCAGCGGGGGGACCACAAAGGGAGGCGCCGCGGGAGCAGGAGGAAGGGCGGTTCCTTCACCAATGCTCACGCTACCCGCAGGCCCCACAGGAGCCGTTCCCCGCCGCCGTCTGTGCCGTCCACTACGGGTCACAAAATCCGAAGACTCACTCAGGAGGTTCCTTTCAGCCTCGAGCGCATCGAGGGTCGACCGCAAGATCCGCATGCGGATCCAGAACATCTAATGCTCGAGCTGCACGATGGGGCTGCGGACATGGAGCGGGAGCCTATGCTGGGAAGCCCCCCAGTTGGCCAACGTGTCGGCCACGAGGTTGCCTCGCACGAGCCACGACTCCCCCTTCCCGTTGACGACATCCTTGGCCTCGAGGTGGCTGTGAGTGAACGAGACAGTGATGTGCGGAGGAGGACGGATGAGGATGATGATGATGATGATGATGATGATGATGATGATGATGAGGAGGAGGAGGAGGAGGAGGAGGAGGAGGAGGAGGAGGAGGAGGAGGAGGCGGAGGAGCCGGCGGAGGCGGCGCGGAGGAGGAAGCGGATGTGGAGGAGGAGGTAGCGGAGGAGGAGGAGGAGGAGGAGGAGGAGGGAATACCAGGAGGAGGAGGAGGAGGACCAGCAGCAGCAGAATGCGGAGAACGGTGAGCAAGATGAGGTGGATGTTGATGATGATGATGATGATGATGATGATGATGATGATGATGTTGATGCTGATGATGATGCTATTGATGATGATGCTGATTATGATGATGCTGATTATGATGATGATTATGATGCTGACGATAATGTCGCTGCTGACGATGCTGATTCTGATAAGGCTGCTGATGCAGATGATGTTGATGGTGATGTTGATGATGCGGATGCTGCCTTTGACGATTATGATGATGCTGATGAGGTTGCTGATGGTGATGATGATGTTGTGTATGATGATGCTGCTGCTGATGCTGATGTTGACGCTGATGATGGTGATGCCGATGCTGACGATGCTGCTGATGATGCTGATGATGCTGATGCTGATGATGCTGATGACGATGCTGGTGATGATGTTGATGCTGCTCATGATGATGATGACGATGTTTATGATGCTTCTGATTATGATGATGACGACGATGATTATGACTTTTCTGGTAACGATGATATTGATGATGATGGTGATGATGATGATGATGATGATGATGATGGTGATGATGATGATGATGATGATGACGATGCTGATGCTGATGATGCTGCTGATGATGATGATGGTGCTGTTGATGTTGTTGATGATGATGGTGATGATGATGGTGATGTTGATGATGATCATGATGCTGAGTATGCTGATGATGCTGATGACGCTGATGGCTGCTGATGATGATGATGATGATGAGGAGGAGGAGGAGGAGGAGAAAGAGGTGGAGGAGGGGGACGGAGGAAGAGGAGGAGGACGAGGAGGAGAAGGAGGAGGAGGAGGAGGATGAGGAGGAGGAGGAGGAGGTGGTGGAGGAGCGGAGGAGCAGGAGCAGCAGTAGCAGCAGCAGCAGAAAGAGAGGAGGGAGGAGGGAGAGGAGGAGGAGGAAGGAGGAGGAGGAGGAGAAGGAGGAGGGAGGAGGAGGAGGAGGGGAGAGGAGGAGGAGGAGGAGGAGGAGGGGAGGAGGAGGAGGAGGAGGAGGAGGAGGAGCAAGGGAGGACGAGGGAGGAGAACGTCTCCGCGCTCGGCCCGCGCGGCCCGCTGCGGCGCGCGCAGATCTGGCACGTCGAGGGCGGCCGGCTGGAGTGGAAGGGCAGGCTCGGCCCCAGGTGCCTGGATCTGGAGCTGCTGGAGGAGGAGCAGGCCTCCGCCCCTCCGCTCGGCCCGGGGTTTCGGCGTCGTGCAGAGGTCGTTGCTGGGCGTCTCGGCAGTTTTAGTGTCGTGTGTTCTCTCTCTCTCTCTCTCTCCCTCTCTCGTCTCTCTCTCACTCTCTCTCCCTCTCTCTCACTCTGTCACTCTCTCTTTCTCTCGCTCTCTCACTGGCAGTACGAGTAGGAGTACTAGTACTCAGGCTGCGGCGAATGAGAAACCTGATGCGACTACGAGTAAGACTACCTACTTTCATTCAGGCGAAGAAGAATACTAACACTAGAGCCTGTTTTTTGTTTGAGTCTGGACGATAACGCTCGTGATCGTCCCCGCCCCTCCCCCACCGATCACGTCACGCTGTTATCCCCACATGTCTCGAGGAATCTTCCAGGGCTTCCAGAGAATCTCAAGGGATTCCCAGGAATTCGTCGTCGTCGCTGTTGTCCGCGACCGGGAGGTGGAGGAGGAGAAGAAAACCAGATGGTTTCGAGGGCCCGTTCGAAGGATTTGTTTAGGGATGTCTCGAGCGAAACACTGATTCTTAAGCGGAACGCTTGGGCCATCTTGGAGGTCATCCGAGATCGCTCCGAAAAGATACCTTACAAGAGCGCCTGGCGCATTCAATTTTTTAGAGGATGCCTCTGGCGAAACGCTCATTTTGGAGGTCCGCGAATTAGACCAACGATTTCAACATCCCCATTTTTCGAGGATGTCTCAGGCGTAACGCCCATTTTTAGCAACACAAGTCTTAATATACTGGCCCCAGCTTCACGATTTGGCGAGGATGTCTCATGCGAAACGATCGTTGTTCAAACCTTTCCTAACATGAACGGGAAGCGCGTGAAAGGGAAGAGTTGCGCAAGAACTTGCAGTATCATCGCGATCAAATGCCATACAGGCGAGCTCTCCCAACGCCCACAAGGGATGCGTATGGATACGCGACCCCCGAACGTTCACAAAGCATATTCCTGAGTATCCTCCCCACTCCTCCGAATGAGGAGGACGACTGCGAAGACGACGACCGGGGAAGAAGGGAGAGGGGGAGGGGGAGGAGGAGGAGGAGGAGGAGGAGGAGGAGGAGGAGGAGGAGGAGGAGGAGGAGGAGGAGGAGAAGGAGCAGCAGCAGCAGCAGCAGCATAATCTCAAGATGTTCCCAGGAGTTCCTCCTCAATCCCCTCTTCCTCCTCTGCTCCCTCTCCCTTTTCCTTTTCTTCCTTTTCCCGAGGGCCCGTGGGTTCGAAAAAGGGCCCAGGAGGCCGAAACCCGCCGTGATGTGATCGGGGGGGTCCACCCCCCCGATCGCGCCCGTTATCGCGGATAAAAAACAAAAAACAGGCTCCTACGCATGCGCGTGATACCACCTCGAATGGGAATCGTACTACTATCACGTCCAAGACTTATACTTTTAGTGTCTCTACTACTACTACTGCTGCTGCTACTACTACTACTACTACTACGACTACTACTACTACTGCTACCACTACTACGACTACGACTACTACTACTACTACTACTACTACTACTACTACTACTACTACTACTACTACCACTACTACTACGACTACGACTACTACGACGACTACTACAACTACAACAACAACAACTACTACTACTACTACTACTACTAGTACTGCTACTACGACTACTACTACGACGACTACTACTACTACTACTACTACTACTACTACTACTACTACTACTACTGTTTCTACAACTACGGCTACGACTACGACGACGACGACGACGACTACTACTACTACTACCACTACTACTACTACTACTACTACAACTACTACTACTACTACTACTACTACTACTACTACTACTATTACTACAACAACTACTACTACTACTACTACTACTACTGCTGCTGCTGCTGCTACTACTACTACTACTACTACGACTACTACTACTACTACTACTACTACTACTACTACTACTACTACTACTGCGACTACGACTATGACTGCGACTGCGACTGCTACTGCTGCTGCTGCTGCTACTACTACTACTACTACTTCTACGGTTACTGCTACTAACACTTCGAGTGCGACTACTACTGCGAAGAGTGTTGCTAACGCGGGTACGCAGAATACGACATTGAGCGCTGACTGATCTGTAAGCCAAGACGCTTGATAACAGTAGCACCAACAAGCGTACGACTACGGATCGCATTATTAGTGGTACTCGTATTTGTAATGTTGTTGTTGTTGCTGCTGCTGCTGCTGCTTGTGTGATTATTATTGCGAAGGTCTTACGGCCAGTGCCGCCGACCCTGAAGGGAGACGACGACGACGACGACGACGACGGCGGCGGCGACGACGACGACGGCGATGACGTGCGTCAGAGTCCTCATAGATGCTTCTTGGGGCCTCTTCGGACGGCTCTCGGGGACCTCTGGGGAAGAACTTTGGGGCTTCTTGGGGCCCTCTTGGGGGTCTCTTGGGAGCCTCTTGGGGGCCTCTTCGTGCTTCCTGGCGACCTCTTGTGGGCCTCTTGGGGCGTCTTGAGAACCTCTTGGGGCCTCCTGGGAGCCTCTCGGGGCAGAGGGCTCGAAATGTCCGTTCGGGTCCCCCGTCTGGGCATGACCTTGTAGCCATCTTGCGGGCATCTTGGGCCGTCATAGGAGGCGTTTTGGGTTGTCTTGGGGTCCTCTTTGGTTGTTTTGGGGCCTTCTTGGAGGCGTCTTGGGCCGTCTTAGGGCGATCTTGGGGGCCTCTTGCGCTGTCTTGGAGCGGCGTGATTTGGAAACGGCGATAAGGCTCAAATCTTTAAACAACCACCGGGCAATCAATGAATGTGGCCTCTTGGTGCCCTCTTGGGAATGCTCTTGGAGGCTTCTTGGGGCGTCCTGGAGGCCTCCTGGGCAGTATGGAGGACGTGAAGGCGTTTTTGGACCGATCGTTTGGCGATTGGGGAACAGCGTTCCGTGGCTCCATAGGGAGCTCCACCGAAGGCCCCAGTGGTGGTGCTCGCATGCACTTCCCCGCCCAGTACAGCGTTTCGTGGCCCCACAGGGAGCTCCACCGAAGGCCCCAGTGGCGGTGTTCGCATGCGTTTCCCCCCACCCAGTGCAGCGCTTCGCTGCCGAAGGCCCCAGTGGCGGTGTTCGCATGCGTCCCCCCCCCCATATGGAGCGCCACCGAATGCCCCAATGGCTGTGCCCGCGTGCGTCCCCGCCCCACTTCGGCACACCCTTTACACGCTTCGTGGACCCATACAGAGGTCCATCGAAGGCGACACCCACAACGGCGATACTCACAACAGCACATGGTCTGGCCCTTCGACCGGATAATTGCCATGCGGCTTGTTTCGGTTTTCTGTGCTGTTTGTTCGTTTCAGGGATCCTTTTGAGAGTCTTGCATGCGGACGCGTTCGATTCGACGGTCGCCAGTCGTTCCTCCGTCTCACGCTGCGGCGCAGCCTTGCTGTGGTGACTTGCAGCGGTTGAGGATGGGGTCACCATCTTCTTCCCGCGGTTGAGCCCATCCTCAGTAGCGGTTGAGGGCGGGCTGAGCATCCCTCCACTGCCGGGGTCTGGGGCTGCTGCAGGTTTTTGCCCTCTTCATTGCACTGCTGTCGGCTGCTCTGTCGCGTGCGTCCGGGAGGATCGCCCTCCTGAAGGGCAGCGGATTTCAATGGTGGCAGGGCGATCGAATCGAACCTTCAGGCGATGGAGGATGGAGGCACTCGCCTGACTGGCAGGCCTCCAGGGGCGCGCGTCTCTTTTGGACGGCGCTCCCGTAGTGAAGAGGAGTGCTTGTAATGAGGGGGCTCGTGGGGGTGGGACTTGGGACGGGGGGAATGTGCTGCAGCATCCTGGATGCATCCAGGGAGTGGTCTGGTCCCTTTGTCCTCCTCCTCCTCCTCCTCCTCCTCGTCCGCTCTTCAGGGTACTTTATAACTCCTCCTCGTCCTCTCCCGTCCGCCCCACGCCTCCTCTCGACGAGCTGGCTCCGCTCAGAGAGAGGACGAGTACGCGGGCGGACACTTCGCCCTGCAGACCTGCACGCCGAAGGAGGGGCAGAGGTTCCAGCGCCAGGACCCCCTGGGGAGCTCCAGGGGAGCGTCATGCGGGAAGCGCTGCACCAGCAGCACTGGGCGTAGCCGCCAAGTTGGCCAGGTGGAGCGAGTCAGCGGGCCCCGCCATACGAATCAGTTCGGGTACAACTGGATGTTGGAATTGCAGCAGTCGGAAGGGGAGTCAATTCAGTCACACTCTCCCTCCAGGGCTCATTTCGACTCCTCCGATTCGACTTCGATCCGATTTCGATGGCTTCCGATTCCGATCCGAGTCGACTTCGGACTTCGATCCAGGCTCCGATCTCTCAGCGGAGGCCCACTCGCCAGCCGCTCCCCGTCGGTTCGAGACTTCTCCCGACGTGGTTGCCGATTCCCGCCGATCCGCTTCCTTCCGATCGCCGATCCGACTCGTCGATTCGATTCTGGGCTCGCCTGCTTTCCCAGAGACACAAGCAGGGGGCCACATGCGAACCCTACCCCTGCCCCCTACGATTTCTGAGGGGGAGGGTGGGGTTCACTTCCCCTCAGAAATCGCGGGGGGTAGGGGTAGGGTTCGCACCCGGCTCACTAACAAGAACCAGCGGCGGCATGCATGCGTGGACGCTGGGACCGGCGCGCGCTCCCGCCCGCGCGGGCGGGGAGAGGGCGCTATCGCGCCCGCCGCCGCGCTGCCGAGGACTTCGGCGAGGAGCGGCGGCGAGCGAGGGGGGGGGGGAAGCCTCCTCCTCCTCCTCCTCCTCCTCCTCCTCCTCCTCCTCCTCCTCCTCCTCCCCTTCCTCCTCCTCCTCCTCCCCTCCTCCTCCTCCTCCTCCTCCTCCTCCTCCTCCTCCTCCTCCTCCTCCTCCTCCTCCTCCTCGCGCGAAGGGGCGGGCCCTCTCAGGAAGGCTCGGACGGCCCCCGGGCCTGCCGAGGAGTGCTTCGAGCCTTCCCCGAAGGCGCCGAGAGCCCCCTTCCAGAGGGCGCGACAGCCTCCGAGAGGCCCCACCGCCCTCGGGGAAGGCCCTGTCCTCCTCGCTTCCCACCCTCGCCCGCCGCCGAGGAGGAGGAGGAGGAGGAGGAGGAGGAGGAGGAGGAGGAGGAGGCGGAGGAAGAGGCGGAGGAGGAGGAGGAGGAGGAGGAGGAGGAGGAGGAGGAGGAGGAGGAGGAGGAGGAGGAGGAGGAGGAGCAGGGGCCGCGCACTTGGCGGGAGCAGGACTCTCGGAAGCATCCTTGCGCGGCCCTTCGGCGAGGACGCCACGCAGCCTTCTCGCGCGCGGCCGGGTTCCCGATGCAGTCAAGACGCCGAGACAAGGAATTGCTTGGGCTCGGAAGGGGCTCGATGCTCCCCAGGCTCCTCCATTGCTGTCCCTCTCGCCCTCCTCGGGCACGGAGGCGCTTCTAGGGCAAAACAGGGGCTTCGTTCCTTATTTAGCGTTCCTTCTTTCAGCGGCCCGACTGTACAGGGCCTGGCGATGGCAGCACATGCGCCGCGCCGACACGGAGGCGCCGCTCTCGGGCGCAGTCTGCGCGGCGCTCCGCCTGCTCGCGGGCGGCCCCGCTTCTGCTCGCGCTGGGCCACTGCCGAGAGGTTGAGGAAGCTCACGACGGTGATGGTGGTGGTGATGCTGCTGCTGCTGATCATGATGGTGATGATGGTGATGATGATGCTGCTGATGCTCATGATGCTGCTGCTGATGATGATGGTGCTAATGCTGATGATGGTGCTGCTGCTGCTGGTGATTATGCTCAGGTTGTTGTTGTTTTTGTGGATGGTGGTGATGATGCTGATCCTGAGGATGCTGATGATGATGGTGATGAGGATGCTGCTGATGTTGATGATACTGGTGCTGCTGATGTTGATGATGCTGCTGGTGATGATGGTGCTGCTGATGATGATGACGATGATGATGATGATGCTGCTGCTGATGATGATGATACTGATGATGTTGATGATGACGGTGGTGCTGCTGCTGCTGCTAATGATGATGATGGCGGTGGTGGTAGTGGTGACGGTGGTGCTGATGATGGTGTTGATGATGCTGATGATGATGGTGATGCTGATTATGGTGATGGTGGTGGTGGTGATGCTGATGATGATACTGATGATGTTGATGATTATGATGCTGATGATTATGATGATGTGGATGATGATGTTGATGATGCTGCTGATGATGCTGACAATGATGATGCTGCTGATGATGATGATGCTGATGATGATGATGATGGCGGTGGTGGTAGTGGTGACGGTGGTGGTGGTGGTGCTGATGATGATGCTGCTGATGATGATGATGATGATGATGATGATGATGATGATGATGGTAATGCTGATTATGATGATGCTGGTGGTGGTGATGATGCTGATGGTGATGATGCTGAGGATGATGCTGATGCTGATGATTATGCTGATGCTGATAATGATTAGGTGGTAATGATGATGAAGATAACGATGTAAGAAGAATTAATATCAATAAGACGCAGACACATAAGAAGAGGAGGAGGAGGACGACGACGATGAGGTGAGGAGGAAGAGGAGGATGAGGAGGAGGAGGACGAGGACGAGGAGGGCGAGAAGGACGAGGATGAAGGGGGTGGGTGGGGCGAGGGGGAAGGTACGGAGGAGGACGAGGAGGACGCAAACGAGGAGGAGGAGCCCTACGCGGGGGAGGAGGAGGAGGAGGAGGAGGAGGGAGGAGGAGGAGGAGGAGGAGGAGAGGAGGAGGAGGAGGAGGAGGAGGAGGAGGAGGAGGAGGAGGAGGAGGAGGAGGAGGAGGAGGAGGAGCAGGAGCAGGAGCAGGAGCAGGAGCAGGAGCAGGAGCAGGAGCAGGAGCAGGAGCAGGAGCAGGAGCAGGAGGAGGAGGAGGAGGAGGAGAGGAGGAGGAGGAGGAGGAGGAGGAGGAGGAGGAGCAGGAGGAGGAGGAGGAGGAGGAGGAGGAGGAGGAGGGAAGAATAGGAGGGGGATACGCACGAGGGGGGATGAGGAGGAGGATTCGCTGAGGATTTTCTCGGACTGTCGCGCCGCGAGGACCAACCGCGGGGCCCAGGTGCGACGCGGCGCGGGGTCCTCTCTGCGCCGATGAAGTACAGCATGGTGCCGAAGCCGAGGACGAGGCCGCGCGCCACGGCAGCACCAGCGCCGTGAACAAGCCTCACATCTGCTGGCAGGCGGGCGGGGCCTTGCGTTGGCGGGACGGTGGCAACCGCGCTTCCACCGATCGCCGCCCAGTCAATGGCCGCGCCAGTGTCGACCGCGCCCACGTCCAGGGAGGGCCGCACGAGGCTGTCAGTCTGCTCGCAGCCGCGCCTGCTGGTCGCCGTGGACTTCGTGAACTGTTCGGCGTCGGCGACGTGGACGATCCGCTCCTGCTTCTCCACCGCGGCGGGCCGCCCTCTTGGCCATGGCGGCCGTCGAGGCTTTGGCTCTGGCCAGCATCTCACGCTCGGAGATGACGCCGAAATCCGTCGGGAGCCCGTCCTGCGCCAGCTGCCCAGCCGGGATCGCCGAGAAGGACCGATGGGCGTCTTCGGGACTCCACCAGGACCGTGCCGGGTCCTGGGAGCCCTGCCCCTCGTCCTCTGGCCCGGCTGCGCCCGCCGCCGCGGCACCGCCCGTTGGAGGGGCAGGTACTCCAGATTTCGTAATAAAAGGGAGGGGGGGGTCTGGACCCTCCAAGACAAACCATTTCAGACCTCCCCCGTGGGAGAACCCTCCAAAACATCGTCCCCAGACCCCCCCAGGCCCTCCAAGATAGCCTGGAAGAGACCCCCCCCCGAAATGAGACCCCCTCCCTTTTATGACGAAATCTGGAGTATTCCCCCGTGTGGGGTCCTGTGCTGCCCGCCTGCACGCCGCCGGCGGGCACCTCGACCCACGCCGCGTCGCCGGAGCGCGCCCGCCGCGGGGCGCCGCTGCGCCGGCGCCGACGGAGCGGCCAGCACCACACACCAGGCTGGCCGAGATCCGCAGGCGCCACGGTCGCCTGCCCACGGAGGGCCTCTTTGGCCAAGGGAGGAAAAAGCACCCAGACCCCGACAGGGGGCGTTTACTGGACGGCCCTGGGCGTCTACTCAGCAGGCCTGCCCTGTCCGATTCCCTCCTTTGGGGTGCGTTTGCTGAGCGGCTTCGCTCGTCGGGGTGCTTCCTGTGGGGGTGGATCTTCTGCCCTCCACTTGGCCTTCAGGGACGGCCTCGCGCAGGCAGCGGGCCTGCGGCTGGAAACCCACCTGCGGCCTCGGAGCATTCCTGCACGACTCCAGTGTCGGACACGATGGGGATGGCGGGGACGAGCTCCGCCGCCTCCGCCCGCAGCACGATCGTCGGCTTGGGGCTGTTCTCCACGTCGGCTGGGGGGGTGGATGCCGAGCGGCTCAGGGACGGCGAACTCATGAGACTCCATGTTCACCCGCTCCAAGTCGGGCGCGTAGAGGGTGTCGATGGGCGCGTTTATCTGCTCCACCTGCGGATTCGCACCTGAAGGCTAGGACGGCAACATGCGGCGCAGACCCGCCTTGCATGCGTCGCGCCTCCGCCGCCGCGCCAGCCGCCGCGCATCAGTCGCCTCATAGGTCCCGATGTCCGCCTCTCGGCGTGCAGATGTGGGCCGCCGCGCCATCGGGCAGCCCCCCTGTACCAGATCCGCCCCGAAGCAGTCACCGCCTCCGCCCGCGGCCCGTCACAAGTCCGCCTCGCGAAGGCCAGGGGCTGGCCCAAGGCGCCGCAACGCTACGTTGAGCGAGAAGGAGGAGGAGGGCGGAGGGGGAGGAGGAAGGAGGGCGGAGGAGGAGGAGGTGGGATGATGATGATGCTGATGATGATGAGGATGAGGATGATGAGGATGATGATGACGCTGTTGATGATGATGGTGATCATAATGGTAATGATGACGATGCTGCTGATGCTGATGATGGTAATGATGTTGATGCTGATGGTGGTGATGACGACGACGATGTCGACGACGACGATGATGATGCTGCTGACGACAATGATGGTGGTGGTGACGATCATGCTGATGATGATGATGATTATGATGATGTTG